AGCAGGTGTGGCGGCTCACGTCTGTATCTAAGGATGCAGCAGGTGTGATGGCTCACGTCTGTATCTAAGGATATGCCAGGCTAAGTAAGGAGGACTGACATAAGTTTGAGGCCAGCCTGGGCTATCTTGGTGACTTCTAGGCCAGTTTGAGCTAGAGTGAGATCTTGACTCAAAAAACAATAAAATGGCTGCTAGTCATCGAGGCACACACCTTGGAGGCAGAGGCAGCGAATTTCTGTGAGTACAAGGTCAGCCTGGTCTATATAGAAAGTTCAAGGACAATCAGAGCTCCATAGCAGAAAGAAGTTGTTTCCAAAATAACAACAAAAACCAATAAACAAAACAAGAGGAGTATCAATAGTAAGGAGGATGGAAGATGGAAAGAAAGGCAACTATTAACATTAAAATAAAGTCATCAGCTCAGGCAATGTTTCTAAATGACACGACTTGACTTGGTGGGGGATAAACTACATCAACAGATCACGGGCAGTGGAAAGGACTACGAGCTGAGCTAGAGAAAACATATGCCAGTCATGCTTAGGTTATTTCCATCAGCTTAGTCTAGAATAAAATAAAATAAAGAACCTCCCATTTAAACATTCTTAATTAAAACAATAATAGCTCACTGACAGAAAAAAAAATGGCTCTCTGCTAACTTATTCAGGAATGGGCTTTACACTGTTTTAGGAACAGAGCTAGTCCCTTTGATTTTTATGGTCTAGTTTCTCAATTATCTCAGCTTTCACCATCAACAGAAAACCATGGTTCCTTCAAGGCACTTCTAAATCGGGACATTAACAGATGACGGGCGTGAGCATCCTCCCAGGCAGTGACTGTCCCTTTGAAAATGAGCATCTTCACAAATATTTTCTTTCCTGGGAAGCTCTAGAATCACAGCCTGCAGAGATCAGTTTCGTTTAGAGTCCTTACATCCATGGGACTTCAATCCCTGAGCTCAAGACTGCCGATCTGCATGCCACCAAAGAAGGCAGGCATGCTTACCTTTAGGGCTGGCGTCCAACCACCACTCAATGCCCACAGCAGATAGCACAGTGAGACCTGGCCAGTTAAGAACAATACCTGCAGACTTTCTTCTGGCTTCTTCCGGAAGGTCCAAGCAACACATTCCAACATTTTTTGAAATACTTCCTGCACTAAATCAAACAGCACTGTGACTTCTTCTGAATCTGTTTTCTGAATCATGGAGCTTCCAGCTATCTCCTTGAGAATGTCAAGAAGTAATGAAATGTAAAAAAATTCCTTCACTACAAAGAAAAGGAGAACCACCAATTACACATGTACATAATTCAATTGAAATTGCTTAACACATAGACATGAAAGTAATGTAAGAACCTATTACTACTGAATTAGCACTAAACACGTTTACCAGATTAATCCAAACTAGAATCAAACATATTTTTTTTCTCCACATAACTAAAAAATTGACTTCTTCCCCAGCAGCAGTAGTACAGCTGACTTTGTAGGTAAACTACGAACTTTGTTCATGTGTGTCTCCTATAAAACTTGAATTAGAAAACACAAACTTTCTCTTATATTTTACTAAAGTAAAAACCCAACAAGGACAAGGTTAGACAGCTCCCAACATCGTTTGATAACGTAACAGATTTCTGATATCTGGTTGTAGCTTATTGGTTTCCTTTGGTGTTTTTTCTTTTCCCCAATTACCTTCCTGACTGAGTACATAATGTGGTAAAATTCATTTTGTATATAAGCCTAATAAAACTATTCCTCCGTCTTTATTTCTAATCAATCTTGCCAGTAAAAGCTACAAAAGCAGAGACAGGGGCCTGTCCCCAGTAAGCCTCAAGGGCACACACCATGTCACCCTGCCCCACTCTAACACATGGCTCAGGTGCTGGTTAGCCCTTAACTTTAGGGTACGACACAGCAAGCCACCTGGCAGAATCCATGATACAAGACACATTAAAATAAAACAAGTATGCAATAAAGCACAGAAATGATGCTCCTCAAACAGTCCATTATCCAGGTGACCACAGGACTCGCCTAGAGAATAGTCCTGGATATGAAGGGTAACGCCATTCAGCTACAAAATTAAAGATCCAGCAAGCTCTGCTAGAGACCACAGCCAACCAACTACACCCCAAACCTTCCTGCTGAGGGATGACAGACTTTCCATCCCAGAGGCTCTCTATCAATCCTCTTGAGGTCTAAGGCTCTGCCAGAATCAATAAGCAGCTCTGCAAAATTGCGAAAACCACACAGAAACTTTCAAGGAGCTACTACTCTTTCAGTCCTCATATGTATTTATCATGTGGACCATCCACTGAGTGAGACAGGAGTTGAGCTCTTCAAACCCGGATACTGCTGACTAGACCCTGACAGATGTTTTGTGGTGGGAAGATTCACCTTTAATCTACTGGCAACCTGTATAAAGGACAAAGCTCGCTCGCTCTCTTTGCCAGTTTGTTCTCTCTCGCCTTGTTAGCAGGTCCATTCCTTCATTGGCATTAGAACCTACTTCAGGATTCCAGCTTATACTGATGTCAGCTGAGATATCAAGCTTTGTGTACTGAACAACTTCTGAATTCTTGGACCTTCGGCTGGCAGACAGCCAATGTTGGATTAGCCGGACCATAGTCTGAAAGTTATTCTAATAAATCCCCTTTATAAGTATAGATTTATTCTCTAAGTTCTGCTCCTCTAGAGAACCCTAACTAATATAACACAGACAAAAGAGCTGTCTCCTTACATTCTTCCTCAGAATGAGTAGTCTCAGTAACATGGAAAGAAACCTGAAAAAGCGAAAACTTTAACCTTAAGTTATTTCACTGTATTCAGGTGTATTGTATGAACCAAATAAGCAACATGCTTGCTAGCAACAAACTGCTAACAGCAGGCCAGGGTTCACAGCCACAGCCAAAGTCAGTGCTGATCTGTAGTCTTGCTGAGAGTCCTCCCCAGGGCACAGCTCACAGCAATCTGAAACTAAAGTAGTGCTGGCTCTGGGGCTCTCCCCAGTATGCTCATCTTTAGGTTGCCAAGTCCCTGCCAACAAACAAACAGCTCACTGTTGCAGCAAGGACAGCAAGAGATAGAGACAGCCTCCCACGTAAGCTGTGGGGCGACTTCCTGCACTGTCTGCAAACTGTACATGACAGCCTTGGTTCCTGAGATGCTAAAATTCCAGCTGTCTCACATTAGTCTTTATCAATGGCCTTTTCCCTCCAAAGTTTTAGATTTCCTATAGTCTTTACTTTGCTTTTATTTCTCTTTCAAACATAACCCTAGATTTCCTATAGTCTTTACTTTAAAAAAAGTTCAACATTTCTTTTTAATTGAGTTGGTATTTTCCAGTAAGAACTCTCCCAAAGCTCTGCTATGTTTGGTGCCTGATTTTCCACCATCTATGTACTGTATTGTAGTGGGAGTACCAGAAGTTTATGAGCTTAAACCCCTAATTTATTTGGTTGATGCACTTGGCCACCCAACTGTGTCCCAGAAATGGGTTCTTTAGAATACGCATTTGGGTTTATAAAGAATACCCTCCCTGGACATAATTAATACCAACACAATGTGGTGGTCTGAATGAGAATGGTCTCCATAGGCTTTTTATATTTGAATACTTGGAAGCATTAAAAAGTGTCAGTTCATTGGAGGAAGTGTGTCCCGGGGCAAGCGTTGAGGTTTCAGAACCCATGTCATTTCCAATGAGTTGTCCCTTTTTCTGCTTGGTGGCTGTGTCTCAAGATACGAGTTCTCAGCTACAACTCCTGCTCCATGCTTGTCTACTTACTGCCATGCTCCCTGCCATGAAAGTCAGGATGACCTCCCGATATACTCTTATTTTCTATACGTTGCTTTCGTCATGGTATCTTATCAGACCAATAGAAAAGTAAGTAAGACACAAAAACAGCTTCTGAAAATGGCTTCCTCACCGAGCCCCTTTCAAGTAGAGCAAAAAAGTTTTAGAAAGTAGACTCTAGTCTCGGTTTGCTAACCTCTAACACATTCCTGCAAGCACCACAGAGGAAGAGTTGCACTGCGGTGCAGTGATGAGTCCTAAAGACCCCAATCACTGGACATGCAAACACAAAGCTCACTCCAGCCTGGACACAGGTCCAGCTCTAAACCTGATGGAAAGGGTCTGGGTACCACTATGTAATGAAATGAACTAAATGGAAAGAAGATTCTGATTAGTTCTATGATTTTAAACTTTATAAATAATTAAAAGTAGATTCAGCCCTAAAGCAAAATAATTCCTAAGTGATGAATCAAGTGTGAAAAAAAAATCATTTTATTTCAACAATTAGCTTATGTGTAGAATGGAGTTTTAAACTACAGAGAATAATTAAAAAAAAACCCAAGACGTTAAAATAAATAATTCTACAACTTTAGAATTTGTGAACCAATACAATATCTTGTTATATTTGAAGTCGTTGACTAGTGTTCAGCAGCACAGGAAGGGAAGGGCTCCACTCAGGCCTGCCTGGAATGCGTCCAAGCTGCATCATTCACATCACTGACCACAATGGCTAATCTGTGGTGTAGGAAGTCCTTCTGTCTACGTGTTGCTTTCATTGGTTAATACAGAAACTGCTTTGGGCCTATAGAAGAGCTATAGGGGAACAGAACTAGGCGGGGAAAACTAAACAGTATGTTGGGAAGAAGATGCAAAGAGGAACACCACAGAGCCACCAGAGACAGATGCTGGGAATTTTACCCAGTAAGTCACTGCCAGTGCCACGTGGCGATACACAGATTATTAGAAATGGGTTAAATTAAGATGTAAGAGTTAGTCAATAAGAAGCTAGAGCTAATGAGCCAAGCAGTGATTTAATTAATACAGTTTTTGTATGATTATTTCAGGTGTAAGCTAGCCAAGTGCCCGGGAAGAACAAGCGGCCCTCCTCCTACAAATCTGGACCAATTAAACATGCTAAACTGCATTTAATGAAGAAAAGTCTCTCTCAGCAAACTAGCAGGCTTTAAAAAATGAAAATTTTAATTGTGGACAGATATTTCCATTTAGCTCAGTAACTGGGATGTACAGTAAAAACCACTACTAATCTTCCACACCACAGAGGCAGCGTATCTGGAAGTAGATGCCTGGGGGCTTGGGAAAATGAGAGATCAGAGCTCAGTAGTGTTTTCTTTGTCATACACTGCACCAGAAGGCATCGCTGGTCCTGGTTCCGGGTGTGCCCCCACCTGACCACATCTGGAACAGTCTCTACACAGATGCCAGGTGAAAAACTCTACACACCAGCAAGGCAGACCCAGGTAGCAGAACCCCAAGGACCCTAGAAACTTGATGTAGGTGGGTCTTCTTTCTATGTGTTGCTTTCATTGTTAATTAATAAAAAAACTGCTTGGCCTGATAGGTCAGAACATAGGTGGGTGGAGTAGACAGAACAAGATGCTGGGAGAAAGGCAGAGTCAGGCAGACGCCATGCTTCTCCTGTCCAAGATGGACATGGGTTAGAATCTTCCCGGTAAGCCACAACTTCGTGGTGGCATACAGATTATTAGATATGGGTTAGTCAAGATGTGAGAGTTAGCCAATAAGAGGCTGGAAGTAACAAGCCGGGCAGTGTTTAAATGAATACAATGTGTGTATTGTTATTTCGGGTGTAAAACTAGCCGTGTGGGATCCCGGCGGGAACGCAGCCCGCCACTCCTTTTTGCAACAGAAACTAACAGTGTGCCTGACATCAGAAGCATCTCTGAAATTGCTAGGTGTATTACAGCCAACAAAACCCCAACTTTTTGGTAAAGGCCCATATGTGTTACATATGAATGTCTGGAAGTCAGATTCTGATCTTCAGAAGAAGGGGGTGAGGGATGGAAGGATGGAAAAGCTATATGTACATACTGTTTCCAAACATTCCTTTAATGGGTAAATGAAGCTACAGTACCTGTTTTCATTATTCCGAGACTCCACTGTAAAAGATGTATCTGAAATTTAGGGTCTCCAAGGCCCACCATGACAACATCTTTACCCACAGCCAGGTACGTCTGTAAGACACACATGGGTTCAATAACAACAAAGGCCATTTAAAAAGGAAGGCAGTCAAGCCCAACAAAGCCTCTCTCCTGTGATGTACTAATATTTTAAGCAAATGTTCACAACTGTATTTATAAAAGAACTTACATAAATACATACATTTTCATTGTTTCTATAAGAACTCTATAGACATTTTAAGCAATTCACCAACCTAAACAAATACCCATCACATATAACATATTAAACTACGTTAAAATTATGCAGAATGTGCTCTGTAAAAAGAAATGCCATTCTCTGTATTATAAAAGAGCACTAGGGTCTAAACCATTTTACAACAAAATAAACAGTCCTGGAAATACAGCACGAGCCGTGTCCCAGCTGCTGACCTGGATGACCTGCTGATAGACATCCCTCCGAAGCTTCAGAAACTCCTCTTCTTGGTCTTGAAGAAGAGGCAAAACTTTGTTTTCTAACCAAGAGCCAGTTTCATTCAAGATGGACAGATGAATTTTCTCTTCTGAGAACTGTCCAACACAACAAAGAAGAAAATAAGTAAGAAAAGCAGCTTTGATACATGATACTCAGAGCACTAGGAGAGACACCATACCTTGTACTGAAGATGGACGCTCAGTCGACAGTGTAGGCCAAAGGCATGCAATGCAACTTCTTTGTTGAAGTTGAGGGGATTCCCACTTGGGGACTGAAGAAAAAATTCCAGATCTGCCTGCAAAATTACAACCGAGGACCCACATTCTGAATGGCATGTGACCACATAAAAACAAGGTGGAAAGCGCCTCATCTATAGGAAACTAGAAGGATAGTTGCAGTGGCAGCTCTCTGCCACCCCGCACCTGAACACTATCTGCTGAGTGGGCTTTAGAAGCACATAACACAGTTAACAGGTACACAAGGCCGCAGGACCACTGCCCACAGGGACTACAGTTTTCTCAGGGCAGGCTCAGTTGAACCACCATCCTGGGTGGCAGCAATGAGGACTACTCAGTAGAGAATCCTATAGGGCCAGTGCAGCAGGGGAAAAACTGGATTCCAAAGGGCCCTTGGGGCACAATAAAGTCACTGCGCACGCTTTCCAAGATTTCTAGAAAATACAGTCGAAGACTCTGAAGAGAGCTAGTACTTCCTCACTGACGCCTGGTCCTAGTCAGCCTATTCTCAGACAAGGGGAGACAAACTGGAGCCCTGACAAGCTAGAAACTGTGAAGAAATGTAGACTCTAAACAGTGCTTGTGAGGAGACAGGTCCTGGGAATGGCACTACTCCTGGGCTCACCTGTTCACCTCAGAGTTCTCAGTTCCTTTCTAGCTTGCAAACATTCTAGCACCAAAGCATGAAAACCATACACCTCACTGCATCACGGCTACTACTATCTGAAGTCACTTTAACCTCTAGGATAAATAGTTACCTTGGATCCTTCAAGTGCTTTTAAAAGCTGGTTAAGTTTCTTCTGGGGTGCAGAGAGCAGACACTCTCGATTCTTTGGATGGGTCAGCAAATACTCCATGTACAGCAATGCTAGCTCATGTCTCACTGGGCACGTATCATTGATTTGCACTTTACTCTGAAGAAGAGCAGTGGAACAGAGAGGCAATTAGAGTTTACGTTTCCAGAACATTGTACAATTTCTAGACACCCTTGTTCTCCACATTCCAGAGAGGCATGGCTGTATACACACCTTGGTCTGACGTGGCCTTATTGTCAGCCAGTCAACAATGAGCTCCAGAACATGCCCCACTTGCCCCCAGGAACAGAGACAATCCAGCAGGGTACAGTAGCTCCTGCCTGTAACACTCTCCTCCTGATTTCTCAGGACAGAAATCACACCACAACTGAAAAAGTCAAGTACAGAAAACCAGGTTAACACCTCTACAGAAAGCCCCCACTGTTCACAACATAAGGAAAACCGAGACGCAATTTGATTGCATCAAGGGTGCACAGGTCTCATTGTTACACTGGTACTTGCTGCAGAAGGACGTCCCACATCTCAACAGCCTTCTGTCTCTAGTGCCAGCTGTCAGGTTCCAGAAGTGGTCATAATTTAGGGCATTTTTTTCCTTTTTTCTTTTCATATAATACATTATATAATTTTTTGCATAATTCATATGCATCACATTTTGCCCCCTTCCCCAATATTTCCCAGATCCTCCTTACTTCCATACCCACCCAACTGCACCTGCTTACTTTCTCTAAAAAGCAAAGAAAAAACAAAGAAAGGAAACACACACACATCTAAAAAAATAAAACCAAAAACTTAGAAACCCAAATATCCAAGCAAAAGACAAAACCAAAACATGCCACAAAACACTCACTCTGGAGGCTGGCGAACTAGCTCTCTAGGCAAGAGTGCCTGCCATCAAGGCTGATGATCTGAGCTTGATTCCCAGACCCACAAAGGGAACTAACTCTCAAGAGCTTTCCTCTCGCCTCCACACTCTGTGCTGTGCATGTGTGTGGACAAACAAAACACATGTAAAAATGAACTTTAAACAACAATTCTTTTGCAAGTAAATAAAACCAAGTATTTTACTCTTAAGCAGCAAACTCCAGAACTAAACTGCGCAATAAAAAATAATATGCAAGGGCTGGAGAGATGGCTCAGTGGTTAAAACCATTTGTTGCTCTTGTACAGGACTCACGTTCAGTTCCAAGCACCATGATGGCTCATAATCATCTGTAACTCCAATTCCAGGGGATCCAACATCTTTTTCTGACCTCCATAGGCTCTTGCATAGAAACAATGCACATACACTTGGATACACACCACACATACACACACATGCAGACATAGTTTTTGAAACAGTACATCAATATAGAAGTTCAGTGACCAAGGCATGGTAACTATATACAAGAACCACCATTTGCTCACCAGCCACATAAAAAGGTTGTGTGTCAACTACATAAAATGTAAAGAGAATTAGAGAAATGGACTTCAGCAGCTTATGGAATCCTCCTCTTGAAAACACTACTTTCACATGTACTCAGTATCCTGGCATTCTTCTTTCACATGTATACTGTGTACTCACAGTACAGTCTAAGCACTTGGAGCCACCTGTGGTCAGTGATGATCACAGGCTCTTGCCACTCTGGATATTAGAATAATGCCCAGATATCAGGTGCAGTCACAGTTGAGTCACAGTCTCTCTTTAACAACTTCTCCTGGCAATCTCTCCACACAGAGGGGAAGGCAGGAAGGGAGAGCACAGGGCAGGTGACAGCAAATCCCAGAGGACAGATTCTTGCGTTGTGGTAAAATACCTGAACACAGGGACAGCAGAGGCTGGCAAGAAGGACATTAGCATGAACAAGGGGATCTTGCAGCGTTCGTCCTAGAAACACAAAAAGAAACATATAGCCAACAGGATTTGACAACAGGAAATGTTTCCTTCATAGCCTATTTCTATGGTTGTTCAAAAAGTACTCCAATAATTACTTTACTAACCAGAGAAAATTAAATCTAAAGGTGCGCCTCAGGTTTGAGGATGAGATGACTTGAATCAAGCATTCTGACATTTCTACACCACCTTTGCTATGAAGCAAACACTAACTGCAGCAAGTTCAGTCATGAAACTATATTTACTTTCAAATCAATTCAGATAAAAGGGAAAAACTAATTACTTGTCCTGATATAACTCTTAAGAGGACAAAGCTATTCAGATAATATTATACAAGACGACCCAAACAATGTTATTGGAGGGAAAGCACATGTTTGGAACCACAAAATAAATCACAGGCTAATCAGATCCTATACCTAAAAGCTGGTAAAATAAGGAGCAAAGTGCCTGAATTCGGTCAGTTTCTCCCTCCTAAAATGCACAGTGCTATTAAAGACTGAATGAACCAAATCACAAGAAAATGGGCAAGGGGAAACATGAAGTGCACTAAGTGCAATAAACTGCAGCTTAATTAGTCCTATTATTGCAACAATAAAGTAAGCTGAGCAGACTTTAATTACTCAGAGTCCATCAAGAACACCACATAAAGGATGGGGAGATGGCTCAGTAGTTAAAGTCCTTGCCATTCAAGTTTGAAGCCTGGAGCAATGATTCCTAGAACCCACATAAACTCTCAGTGGGTGTGGCAGCCTATTTTTAATTCCAGTGCTCAGAAAGAAGAGACAAGAGATTCCCAGGGCAAGCACTTGTGAACTAGCCATATTGCTGAGTTCCTGAAAATAAGCATGAGTAAAGAAAAGGAACAAAATTAAAGTGAGATGTATTATTCACCTGCATTCATTTTTTGTGGCCACTTTGACCCCTAACTCCCAGTATCTAAGTAAACACGATGGCAAGACTACTAGTAATGAAATATTCTTGAAAATCCTGAACAGAGTACAACACATGATAAATATGTAGGTAATACACTGATCTCAATTTAACCATTCCACAAGTTACACATACTCTAAAACATCACATTAAAAAGTATAAAAAATTTTATCTGCCAACTAAAAATATATTTTTGTGTACAATTTACAAAGCAAACAGGGAAAATATCAAGGGTGGAAAGGTTTAGTGTAAATGGGAATAGGAGGAGGAAAGAAAAGAGAAAATAAAGTTAACTAAATCAAAGCCTTATAGAAACTATTTTGTAAGCTAACTAAAAATGTTTCTTTTTAATGGTAATTGAATAGTGGTACTCTGCATGAGTAGCTAATACTACTCCTAGAAAACATAGGTTATTAAATGAAAATCCTAGTTCGAGGCATGGGATTCCTCTCAGTTGATAACGGAGGCTACAGAGAAAACTAAATTAACACAGGCTATTGCTAGTGCTCCACAAGGATGTGTTACATTTGTTTAATTATGTAAAAATCTGTTGCTGTTTCTCCTTAATGCTCAAGGCACCTGCTGACCTAATAAAATCTAGTCAATATCCAGGGATGAGGCACAGCCAGGACTTCCAGTGAGAGAGACTAAGTAGGAGGAGGAATTGGTTCAAGGAAGAAAGAAAAAGAGATGCTAAGAAGTGAGACATGGAAAAAACAGGAAAGTAGGACATACAGAATAGAAGGAAGGTAAAAAGCCCCAAGGCAAAACACAGATGAATAAAAACAGGTTAAATTAAGTTAAAAGAGCTAGTGGAGTAAGCCTAAGCTAAGGCTGAGCATTCATAACTGATAATAAGTCTCCATGTCTTTATTTGGGAGCTGGTTGGTAGCCGAAAGAAGATTCCAATCATAGGTATTTAGAAGTCAAAGTGCCTTCTAAATCTGTAGGCTTAGAAAGAAAAGCTAAGGGCTCACAGTGGACAGTACTCTGGGTACCAAGAATACAAAGCAGAGGGAGAGATGCTAACCTCATGACAAGGTAATCATAGAATGATGTTGGTTTCTATCTTGGTCAGAAAGGCTATTTTTGAGGTAGGCATCAATTAATACATAGATCATTAACTGGTCAAAGTACTGAGACTGACTGTTGAGTATTCAACTCTAAATGAAGACACATCTTTCAACTCCTTCCCCACCAACACTTGGGGAACATCACAAAAGAGGAAGCAGAAAAAAATGCAAGTGTCAAAGAATTGCAGAAATTGCTACATTTTATGAACATGACATGGCTGTAGCACCCACAGACTCAAAGAGGTTGTACTTAACTGGACAAGATCTATACAAGATTGATCCCATCAACATTCCAGCATGGAATGAGCTCATGAGACCCCATTCCTGACTGAGGAGGAGCAATTAGTGAAAAGTCATCTTTCTTGTCCATGATCTAGTAAATAAGACCACATCCATGCATATGCAAGTAAACAACCTAATTAAACTCAGAAGATAAAAAAATTTTAAAAGGCTTAAAGAGGTAAGAAAGGGCTCAGAGAGAGAGTGACAGGGGAATAAGAGAGGAGAATGAAAGTAATGAATGGCATCAAAACAAAGTATATAAAATTATCAAGGAACACATTCTAAAATATATTTTAATATAGTTATGTATTTAATATATTTATTATATATTAAAGCTTTATTGTATGTGTACGTGCATCTTCTTCACTCACCTTTTTATGCAGACAGAATCTTTTTCGGAACCCAAAATTCACCAATTTAGTTAAGAGTAGCCGTAAGCCCCAACCATCCTAGCTCAGTCTCCCCAGCACTGGGATTAGAGATACACGTTGCCATACCCCACTTTATATGGGTGCTGTGGATCAAACTCAGGTACTCATGACTATGGAGCAGGCACCTCATCAAACGAGCTATCTCTCCAGCACCTAAAATTATCTTTTCATTACACTGATCTAACCTGTCTGCCTTTATAATACAGATACAATTCATACATAGAGTCGGCTTCCTATGTACCTTCAAACACCTTAGGAAGTACCTGCAAGATGGAATATTCAGTTTATAAAACAGAGTCCCTTTCCTAAATCTGCAAGTAGATTAGATCCCAGCATCAGACTAGATCTCCAACAGCAGAAAGAAAAGCTAAGGGCTCACAGTGGACAGTACCCTGGGTACCAAGGATACAGAGCAAAGGGAGAGATGCTAACCTCATGACAAGGTAAGGGCTACCACATCCTTCCTGCCATGCATACAAGACAGAAGTTCCAATAAAGATGAAACTGATGCCACCGCAAAGCACCTTACGTATAAGAATGGCCCAGCCTTACCTTGAACACCTTCAGGTACTCTGGAAGCACAGATGCAAACTTGTTAATGGTATAAACTTTGGCCTCTTTATTATTTTCCAGACTTCTATGGATGCTCTTCCAGAGGATCACAATGACTTCTAGTAAACCTGCCATGGATGCAGTATCACTCACCGACAATGTTTTATCTAGTACCTAAGACACAAATAATGTTACTGTGAAAGAATCCAATAACAAGTATTAAAAGACAAACGTATTATCTTCAAAAGCACATCTTAGAATTGCAGACACAAAACAATATAAAAATGTAATGTCCAGTTTCATATAGTAAAACTTTCTTCACTATTTTTGAACCTATCTGTATCAGAAAGGTAGCTTTTTTTCCAAATTCCACCCAAGAAATAAATTCCAAATTATCTCAGTATTTTTTAGTGAAACAGTCTGTATGAACTAAAATGTTTCTGAAATCAAAAACTAGCAGTCTTTATTACACACCTCAGATGGGCTTACACTATACTAAAAGGTAACTGCTGAGCATGGCTATACAACACTGACCTGCCCCAGGAGACACTGCAGCTAACACTTCTTTTCTGAGGCCAGTAGGATATAACTCACAGATGTCAACAACCCCTAAAATCATAGGTTTCCATGACTTACTGAAAAACAAACCTGTTTCTATTTTCCTATTGTGCCAGTAATACACAATGACCAGAATGCCCACTGCAGACCAGACATGCATACCCAAATCCCGCTCTCCAGAGCTGGTGACTTGCATACCAGCAACTGACCATGGAGACAGACACATGATGAATGAAGTGACTTCCTAACACCAAGATGAGGAGAATGACTCCGCTCAGTTTTCACCATTCAAACGTGGGAACAAAACTGATTTTGATTAATAAGAATCAAAGGAGCAAACACGGTTTCTCCAGTTAGTTATGTCAGCATGCACTGAATGCTTTGGAACATGATAAGGTCAATTAGTTTGATAAAGCGCCCTGTTAGTGGTTTGGATGCTACCAGAATAGTGTGACAAACTGACGAAGTTGTCATTCTGGGTTTAACCTTACCTTTTCTGTGCTCTAACTCTGTGAACAGAACAGGAATTTTTTGGAGCACATTTACATTTACACTGAGCATTACAGCACATGATCACTACGTACTACCAGCCTAAGAAATATCAGTACATTTATTTAAAGAGAAAAAAAAAATAGAAGCTCAATATTTTAGCACAACAGTCTCATTAAAATTTATGGAACCCATATTTCCCCTTTGAGACTAACACTTTAATAAAGTAATAGGCTCTTAATACTTTAACAATACTAAACTCTTAAGTAATAGTTCTAAAATTTTAGCAGAGGATATTTTTGGATATTACTAAATGGCCATAAGAAAGGTGTGTGTGTGTCTGGATGTGTGTTTGAGACAGGGTCTCTCTGCATAGTCCTGGCTGCCCTGGAACTCACTATGTAGACCAAGCTTGTCTTGAACTCACAGAGATCCATTTTCTGTCACCCAAGTGCATGGTGCCTTGAACAATGAAAAAAAATCTTAAAAGACTTCTTCAAAAAGTTAGGCATGATAGTGTGTGTTTATAATCTCCGAACTCAGGAGGCATACAAAGGAGGATTGTCACCAGTTCAAAGCCACACTGGAACTTCCAGGGTCACACAGTGAGACTATCTCAAAATCAAAACATTTTAGTTACATACGTATTCTTCATATATTTTTTTCTAACATGGGTTACAATGTTACAAAGCTCTCTATTCTGAACTGCTATCAACCTAGAAATAGAATTCATATAACAAATTAGGTATTTTGTACACCATGTACAACAGAAATAATTTTTATTTCTAATGATACAGAACTTGAGCTAACAGATATTGCAAGATTTCTCAGTAGTATCTAGCCAGGAGGATAAAGAAATTCTCAACTAGTACATTACCAAATTCATGTTCACTTTTGCAAAGTCATTTTCAAACCCAGTAACAAGGGTATAGTGGCCCACAGTAGGATGTTTACCCACTTCTGTCAATGACAACTACCTCATGTGCCAGGCTGATCTGTAGGTTACCTACTGATTAGAGCAGAAAATCTCCATGGTGGCCCAGCTAAGTCTCCCTAAGTCACACACCCTACCTACAATGAAAGGAGTATGAAAAGGCAATGGTTAGCCAAGGTATGAATGTGAATCAATGTTCTATGTACCATTCCCCCTGTACTGCACATCTACTGTCCTGTTAATTCTTCAGCAGTTTCTACTGACCAATTTCAGACCAGACTGGCCAAACAAGGGACAAAGAGACAAGGACATCTACTCTAGAGTGGGCCTGTCAAGATGCAACGGGGGAAAGACTGAGGAAACCATGGCACAGGCAGAGAAGCCACCCCACAGAAGAGGCAGTCTGAACATAATTGCCTACCCTGGTCACAGGGTTGACCTGGCTATGTGTAGTAAGCAAAGGAAAACTGGCTTTGTGATTTTCTTCTACAGGACAGATTTGGGTACTACAGGAAACAAACAAACAAACAAACAAAAAAAGTCCTTCAAATTTGACTTTAGATATTCAAATACTAAGTGCCCATATATAAGCTTAAAAATACTTCTTGTAAGCAGTAAGTGTATTTAAGACTGAACTAGCTATTATTTCTCAAAGTTTTAAAGAAATAATAGCTAATTAAAGACAATTCTAAAAAAAAAAAATTTACACCCAGAAGTTCATCCCTAAATATTTCTAGAGGCTCCTATCAGTGACTTTAACAGACACCAGCTCCATGTCCAGCATTTAGCTCAACACTATTACAACCAAGAAATCAAACACAGAGATGCTCAGAGTAAAGAGATATGGGACAAGGTTGCTATCGGTAAGAATATTCTTTTTAAAAAACATCTCTTCAGACTCTAAAAGTACAAAAGATACAATTCTTTAAAAAATGTAATTATGACTCCCCAAAAACTGCACTTACGTGTCTTTACGGGAACAAGTGGGAAATAACAACATCCCATACACTGGTACAGAAATGGTACAAGACTAAGTCTGCTTGTCTGTACTGCAAACTAAGAGAGCCACTCACGCTGGCGTTCTCCTTCTCGCACTCCTTATGGGCCTCTGGGCACTCCTGCAGCGTCCTCTGGATACAGGCGTTCAAGCAGTGACGGATGACATGGATGAGCTTTGCTAAAGTGGTTAAGATAATCAATCAATACATGTATCTTCTATAAAATGAACTTTCTAATTAGAAAAGTATAATCTCAAACAGTAAAGCAAATTACTTTCAGGAAAATCACCAAGAGATGCAAGAGATGACGAAGCTTACTCAAGTGACAAACACTGAGTATCTGTAACATGCACTATGCTGGAGGAGAGGCAGGACAGGACACGAGAAGCAGAGATTCAGACCTATGTTGGTGCAGGCGGTGTGCTCATGGGCATACTGATAGAACTTCCTGGCAGCTGCGCGATTCATCTGGATCAGTGTGACACAGCGCTCGCACCACACCTCCTCTGGCTGGTTCACGGGCAGAAAAGAGTTGAAGATGAGGCTCACCAGGCGCCGAGACACAGGCCGAGAATCCATTTCCAAGCGAACCAAAATGTCCTCCATGGGGCATATTTTCCAAAACTAGAGGATAAAAGTAGAGACATACAAAAGGAAATAATCAGTGGTTCCTATAACCTGGAAAACTGCTGAAGTTTCTAGAAAATAACCAAGAACTAATTTTTATATCAAGAAAAATCATTTCAAGTAGCTATATCAGAACCTGACTTTCCTGTGAGCAATAGTAGCAAGTCTACATTTGAAAGAAACCTAACACGTGAGGCAGGCCATCGTTTCTACGTCTATAGATCCAATTGTTTTCAATCTGTTAATAGTTTTGAAATAGACACCCTACTCGTCTCTCTTAAGAGGCTCAGAGCATCCTTCCTCAACACGCTAGGCGAGCTGGACTGAGCAGTTCCCGTGCCTAACTCTGGAGCTCCTAAAATCATAAACTCTACCAGAGACAGAATTAATATTAGTTTGGTTTGTTCTTTGGTGGTTTGTTTTTTGTTTTCAGTCAGGGTCTCAAGCATCCTGGCCGGTCCCAGGATTTTTGCAGTTGGAGATTACCTTAAACACTGATCATCCTGTCTCCACACCCTGAATGCTAGGCATTAAACTTAATTAAAGGCATAAACCACCTTTGTGTATGCTACACAGGTGTTCAACCAACTAAGCTACAACCCTAACTCTAACACAGGCTTCTAACACCTGTGCAGCACCTCAATAGGGCCCATTCTGTCCTTAACAATACACGTACACATACTTCTTGGCCAAAGGCCAAGTCCAGATAAGTTCTACACAAGTGCAAGGCCCAAGCTGTCACTCCGAATAGCACACTGGTAGACATGTGGGTGACACTACTCCTAGCATCAGATATTTCCAAGGACAGTCAGGCACTAAGTGTTATCATTTTTCAAGTTAGTCTTGAAGGTCTTTTGATCTTGAAATCCTTTTATCTCAGTGGTAGGGCACCAACTAGCATTCATGAGGCTCTGAGTTCAATCCCCAGTTATCAAGGAAGCAAAACTGAACCAGAGCTGGGAAGAGGACCACTTTTTTGTCCTTGTACCATGTACAAGCAATTCCTTGGTTTAAAAAAAGAAAAACAAACAGGAGAAATTTCAGCTAACCTTTGCAGGCAATACGTTAAGTTCTTCATAAGTTCTTACCAAGTACTAAATATGTATTAGTACATCAAATATTTCAATACTTTTAACATGTCGCCAAGCCTGACAACCTGAGGTCAGTCCCTGAGACCCATATGGTGGAAAGAAACAACTTCAACAAGCTCTCCTCTGACATACATAAGTATACTGTGCACACATGCCCCACCACACAAGTTTTAAAAATATGTAAAGGTGATTGCTTATATTAGTGTCTTTCAAAAAAGAAACATGCATTGATATTTCTAGAACCTTCCGTGAGAAACACAAAATCAAGTCTCATGACAATCTAGCAAATACATTGGCTTTCAAACTGATTAAAACATAACTGTAAAGGTTCTCAGATTTAAAATCAGTCTTTCTGTTGAGTGATCACAATGTGCTTTTCGCATTTCAGTCTTCTCTAAGAACATCCCATTTACCTTTGCAGCTCTCACGGCTTTGATTTTCAGCAACAAATCCACAAAAGCCACCCTCACTTTCTCTGAATTATCATGGAGACTATACCTGAGTGGTGGCAAAAGCTGTTCTAATAATGGGTGGCTCAGTTTGTTATCCAAAAGAATTGGCAAACACTACAGAGAGAGAGAGAGAAAAAAAAAAGCATTTCAAAATCAGAACACATCAATAAAACAACTTTATGCAGGAAACAGCTAAGAGGATGGTGAGTCCCATTCTTGCCAGAAAATATCACCTTCCACATCAAAGGCATGCTTTGGGGCTGGTTGAGATGGCTCAGCAAGACATTCCACAGAGGCAATGAGGACTTCTATCATGCTAGTAAACTATGCCAACCCAAAGACTAGTACTATGGAAAGTAGACATTTTATATAAAAAATACTTTTCTTCTTTGAAACAGGTCTCTAGGCAACTCAAGCAGACTCCAAACTCAGAACCCTCCTGTCTCACTCTCCTGAGTATTTCTGCTATCATATGTCTTAGCTAAACACCTGCCTAGCAAATACTTTAAATATGGATTTTAAAAGCTTAATTTGGAGACCGAAGAGATGGCTCAGCAATTAAAGTTATATACTGAAATTGCAAAGGACTCAAGTTCAGTTTCCAGCACCCATAGTAGATGGCTCACAACTACCTTCAAGACCAGCTCCAGGGCATGGGTGAGCTGTCCCCGAGAACATGAATGTAAGAGACCAAGCCCTGCCCTTATCTACCATATGGCGGTGTGGGCAAGGAAGAAAAACTCCCGTGCCCTTTGAGATCTGTGGTAAGTGGGAGCGTTGTCCCTGAGGTCACTAAAGTAGAGAACTGGCCCTGCCTCTCACCAGCTACAGCACTAGGTAGCACTAAGCAACACAGTAGAGCTGGCTCTGGCAGGGCAGGTGTGAGCAGGAGAATCAGCCCTATCCCGTGCTGCTTACTACACAGGGTGAGTTAGGAAGGGCAGTACTAGAGAGCTCACCCTGGTGTTGAGAATGAAGGAGAGCTGGCAGACTGACAAACTCAGGCCCAGAGCCAGAGCTATGATTGGCCCATTCCATCAACCACCACATCTATAATCTGCTGGAACACATGAAGGGACTGGCTCTGCAGACCCAAAGTTACAGGATCTCCATGACACAGAACAACAACAAAATAATCAAGAGGAGCCCCAGTGAGTGCCAGAACTGATGATGTAGCAAAAACCAGAGACCTCAAACAAGATCAATGACTCAATGCAATGAACCCTTACAGTAACAAAATATGGACGAAAGGACTGTGGGACTCACTGTGCTACACTACAGCTCCCATAAGACTTTTCTTTTCTCTTTTCTTTTAAATTTTATCTTGTTTTATCTGGGGGGTGGAGGGAGAATTTAGAATGGTAGAGAGCAGATGGGAAGGGATGGGGAGAAGAGTGGGATGCATAATATGAAATCCACAAAGAATCAATAAAAAGTTAAATTGGGAAAAAAAGGAAAGAAAAAGAAAAAAAAAAAACAGCTCCAAAAGAATCCATTGCATCTGGCTACTCTAAGGCAGGACCTAAGTTTGATTCCCAGCATCTACATGAAAGTTCACAACCATCTGTAACTCTAGTTCCATGGAATCCAATTCAACACTCTCTTCTGGAACTATGAGCACCAGGTACACACATAACATACAGCCAAAACACCCATACACATTAATATTTTTTTAATTTTAAAAACAAATAAAATTTTACCAAAAAAAAAATTGGTTTTGGTCTAGAAATTCCACCACAGCTGGGCGATGGTGGTACATGCTTTTAATCCCAGCAATCAGGAGGCAGAGGCAGCCAGACCTCTGTGAGTTTGAGTTAGTACAAGGAGAGCCAGAACTGCAATGCAGAGAAACATTGTCTTGAAAAACCACAAAGAGAGAGAGAGAGAGAGAGAGAGAGAGAGAGAGAGAGAAAGAGGAAGAAAGGAAGGAGGAGGGAGGGCGGGAAGGAAGGAAGGAAAGAAGGAAGGAAGGAAGGAAGGAAGGAAGGAAGGAAGGAAGGAAGAAAGAAAGAAAGAAAGAAAGAAAGAAAAAAAAAGTTAAAACCAATAAATTACAATCAGTAACATTTTACCTACCGAGGAGAACAACATCATTTTCCCCCTTCTGTTTCCTAAAAATCCCTGTAGTTCTACAAAAGTATTCTAAAATAAAATGTTACATGTATACCTTAAAAACAGAACAACGGACATCAGCTGAGCTCGTATCAAATGCCAGCTCCCCTGTGACTTTCTTCAAGAGATCAACAAGAATGGTAGGAGGCATCATTTCCCAGTATTTACACGTTATCTTACAAACACCAAGGATGCCTGTGGAACGGACCCTCGGATAAGGATCTTCTAAAAGGCTCTAGAAGTAGAAGAGGGAAAAAGGTTATAACTCTTAAATTACTGTTTGTATTACATATTAGCACTCTGGGAATTTAAAACTTAGTAACAGACACTTAAGTTGCAGAAACACTGGTCATTCAATCTATGTCCCTAGTTCCCCTCCAGGAGACTAGCTCCAGGATGCCAAATCTGCAACTATTTAGTCCTGTATATAAAGCAATACAGCATCAATCCATGCTTCTCGTAAACGGGTTACACAAGTGTCTGTTCTACTACATTGTTTACCGACTAAAGACGTGAAATTAAATCCCCACATGTTCTATATGGTGTCACAGATGAAGACAATGAAAAGGTCAATAACTTGCCCAAAGTCACAAAGCTACCACGTGGGAGCGGTAGAGTCAACTGAAAGACTACTGGGAACCAGGCACGCATTACCATAATCCTGAACACCGCATAAGGACACGTAATGTTTCAAGAGTGACTAAAAAAAGAATGAAGGGATACTGTAGATGTGTGCTTCTTGGGACATAGGCAAAATGGGTATTCCTCCGTAGACTGGCCCTGCTGGCAAGTTACAGGCTAGCTACAAGGCATACAGGCTAGCAATGACTGTACCCTACAGCAGTACGTACATATAGTTCTTCAAACTGCTTCTGAATTTCACTGTCCATTTCAGTGGCAATGAAGTTTGGATCTCTAACAGGAAACGCTTCAACAAACAGCAAGGCAGCATTTGATCGAACTTCAGAATTTCTGGCCTATAAAATATGAGTACTTTTAGAAGTTGAGAGTTCAGTGCTCCCAAATTAATACTTGCACAATTTCAGTAGAGATTCATTTTCAAATTAAAGAAAGTTTAGGGGGCTGGTAAGATGGCTCAGAGGACAAGGGCATGTGCCCCTGAACTTGACAGCCTAAGTTCAATCCCAGGAACACACAGTATAAAGAACTGCCTCCTGCAGGCCGTACTCTAGTCTCCACCCATGCTCCCTACCTCCTATAAATAAATAGATACATTGTGACCAATACATATATAGATATAGATATATAGATATATATATAGATGTAGATACAGATATAGATAGATAGATAGATAATTTTAACCTTTAAATCAGAAAAACTAGACTGTGAGTACAACTTACTGGAAAAGTACACACTTAGTATGTATGAAGCCCTGGGCTCTACTCTTGGCATTACAAAAGTAAGTAAATGGCCAAAGTTTGAAAAGTCATCCTTAAATTAAGCCAAACACTCAGTTCAATGCCAACAGATATTAGAGATCAGCTTCCTCATTGCATTGATTACACTTTGCAATCTTCAGCCTAAGTAAAAGAAAAAAAGGAGTGCCTATAACCTTAAAGACGGTTACTGCCTTCTACTCACTCCAGACTTCATCAAAACACTGACAGAACGTCTTTGCCGCTGCCCTCATCTCAGGCATGAGAGTATACGGCAGGTGGCCCAGCTGCTACTCTAGCCAGTCTCACTGATGTCTGCGCACACCCCAGTCACCATCTGGATACTCAGTACTGAACTGATCCACCTTTGTAGTTAAGTGGGCCAAAAAAATGCTCTTCATAAAGGTTAAAAACTGAGAGCCAGGAATGGTGATACACACCTACATGGGGCTGAGGCAGGAGGATCACTTGAGCCAGGTGGCTAAGATAGGCGACAAAGTGCAAATATTTAAGAAATCTCGTTCTGCAATGCCATAAAGAACCTTCTCCTGTCTTATTTTCACTGCCTTGGTAGGTTTCTGAATTAACACAGGCTCAATTTGAAGCACATGCCACATTAGGAAACACTATACATTACCTTCAGTCCTCTCCACAGGATGGGCTTATATAACCTATACAGCATCTCTTCCACTCCCTGGCGGACTTTCTGTTGGTGAAAGTAACTCAGCACCTAAAGGGAAAGAACGAGAAAGAAAGCAGAAGCTATGGGGTTCTTTGTAGAGCATTTGAGTCAGCTGTAGTGCTGTACCCTCAGCAGTCTCAGCTGTAGTGGTGT